CAAACCCATGCCAAATATAAACTGTACAACAGAATCATCATGATTCGGGATCAATCCCGGTATTGGTTCCTCGTACGATGATATGGTTGTTTACTAAATCATGATAGTTGTGAATTTGTTTTGGTGGTTTTTAATTTATAAACCTAATTATTTCGGCATTTTGGAATTGTCTACACACGTTTTGAATAATAGTAGTAAGATAGTGTTTGCCATATCCATTGAATACCTAAATACGGTACAAGCGATCGATGTCTTTCACGAAAAGTTCTCAATTACACTTTCGGCAATGGATTTACTGAAGAAAAACGTAACGAAGGTATACACGTTAGTCCATTTTTCAAATATACCACGTAACGTAATATGGCTGAGTCCGTTTGAAGTCGATTCATCGGCTGGCATCAAATCCTCGATCATATTTAAATCACAAGGAGAGTAAAATTTCTCGTCGACTAATTGTTCCAAATACATTTGTTGATGTTAAATTTCTTTAATGAGAAGAGTCGCACAAGACAAATTGTTCTATTTTTATATTTTGTAGGCTTAATGTCGCTGTATCATTCCTCTCTTAGCTGGGTGGGCCTTACACACTTCGTATATTTTAATATTTTTAATACTTTTTGTTCGATTTATACGATCCTTTGTGTCCAAAATGTGTCAATCAGTCCTACCTAGCTCAATACCGTGACTTGAAATACGCAGTGAATATTGCGAATATAAGAAGTCCTAATGGCATAAGACGTATTTTCCTATATTCGTAAATTCAAGCATTCCTAATCCAATCCTAATCTAACAAGGAAACATATCGAACCGCGACACACCAATTTTAATGAAACTTATGTGAAAGATAGTTCTCAAGAAAATATTTGACACGTATTTTCCTTTATCGGCCATCGCTCACATTGAAGGGGTGAAAATAGCCCTCGAAGTTGGAGGTTGAAATCATATTTTTGAGAATATCTCAGGAATTAAAGAAGATAATTGGATTCTTTTTTTTGTAAATTGTTGGTCTTTAAATAGGGAACTTTTGTGCGTAAAAAAATTTCAATAAACTTTATTTGTTTAACTAATATTTTGAAAATTTATAATTTTTGTTTAAATTTTTGCACTAAATGGTGATCTATTTTTTTGCAACTTCGTGTACGTAAACTATGGACAAAAATAGAGGATACGTGTTTTTGGAATTTGTTGTTTGTTACAATGTTTATTAGATATATAATTTTAAATCACCTCCTGTGTAGAGGGGCAATCAGCATTTTTATTAAAAATATCATTACTTTTACAATCTTTTACAATACTTTAGACATTTTACACCTCTTCATATACCGTTAATTGATTTCTGAATAATTATTGTAAGCGTCGCAGGTATGAGCGTGACGCGGTTATAATCAACGCCGTAAGGTACATAGGCTTTTATGGCCTATTGTGTGATCTAAAATGTCCACATCCATTGAAGAAGCTATTCAAGCGGTAAGTAAGGCCATCCAGACTATCGCTAACCAGCAAGAAACGATCAGCGAAAGTACCTGCGCGATGCGGGCTGAAAATGAAAAAAGGAGAACGGAAAATCAAGCAATCCAGAAGATCCTGAAGCCAATGCTCACAGACGACGATGCTACTACGGCTGCATCTGTGGTATATCGTCCTGAGGAAGAAGAAGATCAACCAGTGAGGCAAAAGTTTCAACCGTTCCAACCAAGCACGTCTCGCTCACACACTGAGGTAAATGTGTCAGACAAAAATTGTGGCCAACCTACGGAGCTCAGGTATGAGGGATTAAAATCTGCTAACGATTTGCTCGACACCATCAAGCCGCTTAAGAGGCAGAACGATTCCGGTGTTGAGGATTTTATATGTATGGTCAAGCGCGTTATAAATCACGATGTTTTGAACCTGATATTTTACTCGACAAAATCCTTGTTACGAAAGTAACTGGGCACGCGGAGAGAAATATTCGGCATTTGCAAATAACTAGTTACGACGAGTTTTTTGATGCATTAAGAACGTATGTGTTTTCATCTGCTTCTTCGGATGCCGCGCGAGATAAAATGCATAATATAATACAAGGTAGAATTGAAAGCGTTATGAGTTATACTCTTCGCTTTAGGCAACAACTAAACGAATATAGGTACGCTATACAAAACGAACACAGGCGGCCTACTATTAGGCAAATCGCCCTCAGTATCTGTGATAAAGAAGCGACTAAAACATATATAAAATATTTACGGTACGAAATCGGAGTGTTAGTTTACTCCAATAAGCCTAATAGCATCTCAGAAGCACAAGGCCATGCCTTAGAGGCTGAGATGTGGGAAAGGGATTCCAAAAATCAACGCGTCTCTTATAGACCTATAGCATAAAACGATAGGGTACGAGTAGAGCAAACAAATCCGAGACCAATGCGAAAATTCGACAAACCACGCGAAATTCAAAATATAAAATGCAATCGTTGCGGAAAGGTAGGACATTATGTATTATGAATTTTCACATAACGCCTCAGTTAAATCCACCGCCGCGGGTAAATCGGATTTGCGACGAACAGGAAGATTACAACTCAGAATCTCAAACGTTAAGTCTTGATCAGGAAGACTGCGCTTCATTAGAATAAGGTTCAAAAATCAAATTATAGGGCGTTTCCTTCTCGATACCGGAGCCGGGTTAAATATAATAAAAGCGAAACATTGTGAAGACCGGAAAATTGTAAGGGGAGGAAGGACATTTCTGATGCGCAAAGATAGACATGACAGTAAAGGGGAAGACACGTTAAAACTATTTGACAAATTACATTCTTTTCATGTAGTATCAGACGGTTTTCCATTATTAGAAGACGGTATAATGGGCCTCCCATTTTTCGAACAGTATCAATACAACATCACAAACAATGAACTAACATTAGACGGACAAACTATACAACATGAGACAGAAATCTCTATTCTACCTAACGAAACTTACACCACAAAAATTCCCATCAACGAACAATTTTATGTAGCACACATTTACAATCCCACCAATGAAACTCTCACATATCCAGTACACGAGTTAAATACCACCCTACCAGACCGAATCAGACTGTTAAAAGAGAAAATTAACCCCCAACATGTTGATCCAGAATTGAGATCCAGTTTAGAAAAAACAATAGTTTCTTATAATGACGTGTTCGCTTTCGAAAATGAAGAATTGCCTTGTACTAACCTTACCAGACACGTAATCCAGCTAAAAACAGAAAAACCCATTAACATAAAATCGCATAGGCCACCCGAGGTACGTATGTAGAGATGAGATTGACAGACAGATTGAACATACAGGGTTAGGTATAAGTATCGGGATTGATGTCCTAAAATGAAATTCGTTGAAGATATAATATGTACATTGAGTTAACAATCTTCAAAGTATGCCCCTCCTGCATCAATACACCGTTGCCAGCAGGTTTTCCATTGTTCATACGCTCCCTGGAAGTCGGCAAGCGTAAGACTCTTCAGGCACTCCGTCGAAGCCGCTTGAACTGCCTCAATTGTCCCGAAACGATGTCCTTTATGTCTTCTTTTAATGCGAAGGAACAGAAAAAAATCAGAGGGAGCCATATCTGGACTGTAGGGTGGTTTCAAAATTCAAAATTTCCCGCACTTTGTCGACATTCGTATCGGATCGAGACGACGTCCTTATAATTCGCCTATCTGGATTGTACCTGAAAAACTAGACAATTCTGGCAAACGCAAATGGAGACTAGTTATAGACTTTCGACGTTTAAATCTGGAAACTGACCAGGACGCGTAGCCCCTACCACCGATAGATGAAATTCTAGATCACCTAGGAAAATCAAAGTTTTTTTTCGTTTTAGACCTCAATTCGGGTTTTCATCAGATATCAATGGATGAAAAATCAAAAAGATACACCGCGATTTACCGAAATGGAAATGTTAAGTACTTAGCTTTTGACTTTGGTAGTGTAATCAATATTTGGTTCCACAGAGATTACTGCATGTGAACATGCGACTAGAATGTACGAAAAATACACTTTATTTAATTACATGTTTAAAATGTATGCCGCCTTCCATCACGTAATATTCCGGTCTTTTACTTCACATTTCCACTTCTGTAAATCGAGTAATATGTTAATAAAAATATCATGTAATATATGTTTTGAATTCGTCTCGATGTCCTCTGAAGCTATGGATAAAAAAAAATGTATGTTTCTATTTAAAAAACCCAAGGTGACCTTGACTTTGCCAAGAGAACAAACTGTTTTAAAAATTTGTTTTACTAATATCTATTGTGCACTTCATACCCTGCAAATATTGCTCTAAACATTTTTTCGTAAGGTGGCTGCAAGTGGGAGAAAAATCGTAAGTAGCGTTACAGGTAACACTCTGTATGCTTTTGCATGGCCATTCTCATATAATCAGACTCAGCATGAGTTTCCTATCGTTAAAGACGAAACGGTTTCAACTGAATCAATTGCTGATAGATTTTTGTTATGTAGAGAATTGTGTGTTCTAGCCCTTAACAGACAATATGAATTAGGAGAATTAATCGGCGGTCCTGGTGTAATAGTTGAAATTGATGAGCGTAAAATTGGACGAAGGAAGTTTGAAAGAGGACGTTTGCGTGAGGAACATGCGTATTATGTATAATTTTTATGGCTGTTGTTATTTTAATATATTTATTTTTAATTTTTATTTCCTATTACGTATTAAAAATTTAGAATAGGAATGATAGGGCGAGAAGAGCAAAAATATCGGTTCGAAATATGTCCTGGAAACAAAAAAAATGAAAATACTTTTGTTTCATTAATTAGGAATCATGCGGCAATCGATTTGGAAACACATAGGGATTGTTGGAAGAGTTATATAAATTTTAATAATTATGGTTATGTTAACAAAACTATAAATCATAGCACTAATTTCGTAGACCCAGAAAGCGGTGCTTATACTCACAATATTGAATCGTCCTGGTGAGGAATTATAGAACAAAATAAGCAAAATGATTTTAAAACACTACACTTACAGGACATTGAAAGTACTTTTCCATTCGCTCCTCAATTGTCATATTTTTCTTAGTCCTGATCATCAGGTAAATCTTGTCAATTTCCAAGCAAGTGCGTAAAAGTTTTTCTACGATGCCTGTTCCAAAGAAACCACTGCACCCAGTGAGTAGAATTTTTTTGCCAGCATAAAATTGTCGTATTTGACCACCATTGTTACAATTTTCGTTCTCTGAATGCCACTTTTCGCTATTCATCGCGAATATTATTTTATTATTTCGAATTCGTTCGTTCCTCACTTTCTATTACTTCCAATATGTTATTCGCTTTTCTTATTCACAAGTACACTTTTTACAAATCAGTGGTAAATTTCTATCAAAACTGTGTATCATTAAAGGAACACGATAGTACGATTCTAACAATACGCTTGCACAGAAAAATGTACTTTGTCGTTTGTTCCTACTTATATAGATTCAAGTTACCTTGAAGTCGTGGGGTGATGGTTAACTAAGTACTTCCCACAGTTTCACTTCTTATTGTAAGGTGATAAGTATATGTTATGATTACTCGCTATCTACATTGTGTGCATTACACATGTTTAATACATTAAGCACTGATGTCACTGCGGTTACTTAACTATATCTGTCTTTCCGGTTTCCTCGAGTATCAATAAATTTGAACGATACAATGACATTTAAAAAGAGATTGTAAATAATTATGAAAGTGAAAAGGAAAGTTCCGTTAAAAGACAATAATACTTATTATTTACAGCTTCGTTTTCGAAAACATTGTTTCGAAAAAATTTTTAGGTTCATTGTGTCCAAATCCGATCAGTATTTTATTAGGTAATCGGTGATCGTACTTAATTAATCAAAGAAGCGATTGAAGATACTGTAATCAAAGGGTATAATTAAATTCACCAATAACTTACCACAGTGAAGGTTATTCGATCGATAAATATACTTACAGTAACCATTTGATACACAGGAAGTCACAAAATTATTGGTGCAGGGGTATATTTAAAGAAAGAACATCGTACCATTCTTCAGTCTATCCCTGACAGACAAAGAGCGATTTCGAATTGTAAGAATTTACAGTAAGTAAATGACGAAGATTTCGTAATAGAATTGTAAAAGTATCCTAACGTCCTTAGATTAATATTGCACTATACGTAAATATTACTTACCCATTTATACTTTATATCATAGTGACATACGTTTGTTTCCATTCATTCCGTGGGCTATTTTTTTCTCATGTTCACTTATGTAATATATTAACCTTGTTGAGTAAAATTGGGACATCCTATACATAAGTATGTCTCGTCTTCTACTCACGGATTCAGCACTTTCGTTAATGATATGCCGGCCAAAGGTCAAAAAGGTTATGAAAATAATGTGCATTTGCTGATGATCTACGTAACTTAATGATTGGAACATTTATTCAACAAGTAAAACGTTTGAGTTCAAATTTCAATTCAGCAATTTGGTCGGTCGTATATGTTTCTGATTACAATTTTTAAATAGCCTACTACGTAATACAAATATTTATTAGCACTGACTGTACCAAAGCGGTCAAATGACTGATTCTCAGGTTTGCTATTTAGAACTACAAAATTTATGGACATATTTTTTTTTAAATCTGTATTGATTAGATAATTAATTAATCTGTAAATTCAATTATATTTTATCATTTCTTTGTTAATTTCTCTTCTTCATTTTTAATTTCGAAGTATAGATGGTGTGTTCCAAAAGTAATGAGAATGATTTTTTTTAAAGGAATTTATTGAACCAATTCTTACAAATACTCAAAAATCTTCGAAGTACTGCCCTTGGGCTTCTACAAATTTTTGCCAGCGACCCTGCCATGAACGGTACGCGTCCTGGAATGCGTTTTCCGGAACCGCTTTTAGGGCTTCGGTCACGGCCGCTTGGATGTCTTGTATCGGCGAGAAACGCGTTCCTTTCAGGGATGTCTTGATCCGGGGGAACAAAAAAAAGTCTGCCGGTGCCAGGTCAGGACTATAAGGGGGTTGGGGAAGTGTTATCACCTTGTTTTGGGTCGGAAACTCACGTACTCGCAGCGCGTTGTGACAAGGCGCGTTGTCGAGATGCACTATCCAGGTTGCGGAAATGTGTTTTCTCGTCCTGACGATCCTTTTTCCCAGTCTTTCCAGCACAACCATGTAATAGGCGGTGTTAACTATCTGTTCTTCAGAAAGAAATTCTTTATGGACTGTTTTGCTGGTTGGTGGTCGCCCAGAGCGTTGACCGTCGCGAACCTCTTCCCGCCCTTCCTTAAAGGCCTTTAACCACCTCGAAACTTGTGAGTACGACAGAACAGAGTCCCCATAAGCCTCACGAATCATTTTATTTGTGTCCTCAAGAGATTTGTTTATTTTAGCACAAAAGCTTTATCGCGTATCGTTGTTCCGATCGTCGACTCCAATTTTTCCGCGACACGGTCACCAAACAGGGGGTCACAAAAATTTACGTCCCCAAACAGGGGGTCACAAAAATTTTTTTCCGCGACACGGTCACCAAACAGGGGGTCACAAAAATTTACGTCCAGTCCCTTTCACAGCTCGGAGAGCCTTGGGACCGGGTTCATTGGAAAGCTAAGGGTTCCCCGCACCTAACCCATGTGGTCAGATCCCCCTCCGACCAACAGGAGCGGCACAGGAATTTCGTTCTCATTACTTTTGGAACACACCATGTATGTGCCTTACACACCAATACCTTAGTGGTAATATTAGTTTTTTACAATTAAAAAATGGTTGAATGGTATCAGAACCGTTGACGAAATGATAATTAAAATGTCATTCATAAAAAAGAAAGATAAGTTAACGATAATAATACTATAGTTGAGCACTAATAATCAATATGTGCTAATTGATCACTCATGATTCAAAACAAGATCCAGGTTATTTAAAAATTGTCCCTTACAATGTATTATATACTCAGTACAAGCAGGGTTGCTCGAGCTTATTTGGCGTGTACACGTATATGCCGAAAAACAACTATTAATGTTCGAAGAACCACCCTTATCCGAGAGAACAAACGAATACTATATCGTTACCATCATGCAAGGTACCAGGCTAATTTTATTCGTACGTATAGGTTGAATGTTGAAGAAATTTTGTCTTCCTAGAGCACTCAAGAAAATTGTTTACTTTCTTCCTTTTTATGACTAATTGGGTGGGATGAAAATAAAAGTTAGTTGACATTTGGGCAGGCAATTTGGCAACCTTGGGGAATTTTCAAGACCTCTTGTCGCTAAGCACCGCTATGGCACCCGATGGTCGAGATTGCAATTCAGATTGACATTTTGATGGTTGACTTAATTTTATGTTGTACACTACTTGTGATTGTCACGAAAAGTAATGTGGTACCGAAATGATGACCACCCGATGCATGGCGATACCGATGCACGTTTAGCTGCGCGAGCTTTGCATACGTGGCGTTACCATGCAAACCGCGATCGACAAATGTTCGCTTCTTCCCACGAAAAGAGCAATTACGTATCTGGACGGCGTCACAGGAAGACCGTTAATAACACTGTCCAACAAATTTAAACTTTTTTTATGTTATCTAATACCCATTGGGTGATCCTTGTAGAGTTTCTCGTCCTGAACGAGAATCCGAAAACCGAATTGCCGAATTGCCGAATTGCCGAAAATAATAACGAATAATAACAAAATATAAATAATAATAATTATGAAATAATAATACTAAAAAAAATTAAACATTGTAAATATAAAAAGTGGATGTATATTAAGCCCCATTATTGATGCTGATTGAGCGTAGCCACGGCACTGACTTGGCGAGGAGAGCGAGCTATGGCCGCCTGGCGGCAAAACATCGCGCACGTGCTCCCGGCAGATATTTTTTCGATTTTCTGGAATTGCATACAGCTACAACATTTACCCCACATAGTTTCTTCATCAGAAATGTCTATAGAATTCGATACTGTATAGCGAATTCGCGCTACATAAATAACTTTTTCTAAAAATGCAAAAATAGTACGTAGGAAATGCGTACAACGGCCGTTTTTTAAACTTTCATGAATATTTACAACTATTTAGAATTATGGAATATAACAATTATATATACCAATTTATTCGGGACACTCTCCTCTAT